GGTGGCCTCCCCCGTGAAGGGGAGGTCAGTACTTGGAAATATTTGACAAGTACAATAGCAATTATACTAAGTATAATTGATGTTTTAATTCCTAAGACCCTTAACTTAGGGTGCTATTATATTATAGGCCATAACCCTCGGTTACCCCTTTTTTCTTTTAACTGTACTTACTTTATATAGAGTCAAGTAGTCGGCCCGTGAGCCCATATTCATTTAGAATTCATCATTTCCATTCCCCCGTGACCGCAAGTCACGATAACCCCGTGAGGTCCCATCGAGCCCCAATTGTATAGCATGGGCTCGGCCCAACGACATTTCTATACAATCCTCTAACTCAGTATAACATATCAAAATTTGTATGGCAAGGGCTCGGCCCAACTACGTTTCCATACCAACCATAACTTCGTGGCAAGGGCTCGGCCCAACTACGTTTCCACGGAGATCACATATACATGGCAAGGGCTCGGCCCAACTACGTTTCCATGCTAATCATATTACATGGCATGGGCTCGTCCCAACTACATTTCCATGTCATCCTAGAGTCCAACTCTAATTATTTTCATAATTAAATTCTCAAGCAATTCCTATGCCTAGAATCAATTTCCGTAGGTAGACTTTAGGCCTACCCCTATCACACCTTAGTGTTCACACAATTCAACCTTAAAGTATCTCTTGAGACTACTTAAGGCATATCTATTCACAATCCTACCTCTTAGGATTTGTTTCATCATTTATTTATATTAATTCCCCGACTAGTATTTTGATACTAATTGGATAATCTTAGAACATGCCAAGTTCCTATTTTCCAATTGACTTTTCATTTCAATTGATCTCCCAACACAAGTATAGTTTGATCTCAATATCAAAAATATCACTTTACTCCGTTCATGAATTTCATACATGGCGTAAAGTATATTTTATCACAATGTCATCATAGTAATTCCATTAATATGCCGTTCCATTTATTTCACATAATCATACACAATTATTCTAAATTTGTATATCATGCTTCACTTACTCATATCAATATCATTTTCATTTAGGCATTATTAATCATTAATAATCCATGAAAATCCCATCAAATTACTTTAGGCAATCTTATGAAATTAACTCACAAATTATAAGCAATATAGTCAGTCATCCTCACCTCGTGATGTGCTACAATAGTTGCCTTTGTTAAGCCCCTCGATCAATCCCCGTTCTAGACCGATTGAAAGTGGAAATCTGGACTGCTGGGCCAAAGCCGGGCGGCTTTCACGAAAGCCGGGCGGCTTTCGTAGTCTGCAACTACGAACAGCTCCCTATATGTGGCGGTTTCTGGCGATTTCGACTCCTATCGATTCACCAACTCTTCTAAGTTAATTACCACCACTTTGTATCAATATTCTACACTTTTAAACGTGTAGAACTCATGGTTTAATTCACCATATGATTTCTTAAAAATCATACAATAATGAAACTAGTTAAAGAGCTATTTGGTGTTCTTACCTTAAGCCTAGCTCTTCTCCTTGGATTCTCTAGCTTCTTCTTCCTCAATGAGACCTTGGGACTTTGGTTTCCTGGAGGTCCTCTCCTCTTGTGTCGGTCATATGAGTGTAGGAGTGGAGAGAGTGTGCCTTCTCAATCAACACAAATGATTTGTGTGAGATAGGACCCTAGCATGAGTTTTTGTCTCAAAGGAGACTTCCTCCCTCTCCCTTGTGCGTACCAGCACGTTTAGCTGCTCCCCTCCCCCATTATTTGATCAATCAGTACCCATAAAAAACGTGGGGTGGCCCCCACTTATGTGGGAGGTCATCCCATTACGTCCCGGTGTGTACAATCGGCCCCGAAAGTTGTATTTCTCGGTCCATTTTAATCATATTTTATTTTATCGGACCAAATAAAATATATCACGCGTCCCCAATAATCATGGGCTTTTAGAATAGATGTACATTCCCCAACCTTAATTTAGGAGTCTCCGAAATTCATTTCGGGCTGTTATCCGATAACTTACCAATACCGATAGTTGGGCCTCGTTTGACCCACAAGTCAACTCCATGCCCTTTCCATGGCCCAACTAAAATATCCACCACCATATACGTATTATCTATACCAAGATGAATATAATATGTGGTTCAAGAGTTATCGGGCGGCCCCCGCTCCCGCTGTGGGCCCCACATGCAATTTACTATTCACGTAAAAGAAATAATAAAATTTAACAATTACGTAAATTCATAAATCATCTTTCAAGGTTTATTACAAAATTTACTAACAGTAAATATGCTTGGGGACGGTGCTACAATGCACTTGTAGCCAAAAGTCAGCCTTATTCAGTGGCATCCTCATAGGCAATAATCGGGATCAATTTAGGGTCGTAAAACGGTATTTTCAGTAGCGGTGGGCCCGGACCAGCACCGATGGCCCCCAAACCGACGTTGTTCGAAAACAGAATGTGGAGGTCGGTGTGGCATGGAGAACCGGCGACGGTAAGGGCCAAATTAGCGCCGGTCAGGGCGGTTTTTGACCAGTCGGTGGAAAACGAATATTAGATGAAGAAAAATCCTTTTAACCCCAAAATTCGACCCTGTTCGTCTCTCTCTTTGTAAACCAGCCCCAAAACCTTCTCCAAGTGATTCAAGCTCAAAATTAAACATACTTTTCATCAAAGATCATTAATTGGTAAGATTTACACTCTACATGAAGTATTTCTTTTATATTTTGATCTATGGTTCTTGTTTTTGGATTTTACTGAGGTTGATTGATTTTGGGTTGATTCTAAGCAAATTAATGGAGCTTCTTGATAATAAGATTGTTGTGGAGTTGTTGTTCATCCTTGATTTAACAAACTTCAAATTAGTTCTTGAGTACCTAACTACCCCGAAGTTATGCCCGATTAGATGTAAGAATTGGGGAAGTTCTTACTGTTTAGGGGCTGGTTCTAAATAAATACATAGAATTCTTGATATGATAGTAATTAGTTAGTTTTTGCTGATTCTTGATTATGAATTTTAATCGTTTCTTGGTGATCTAGCTATCCGAAGATATGATCGTTTAGGATGTAGGAATTTCAGGATTCTTATCACGTTTGGGTGGGTGGGGGTGGGGGTGGTTTTTTTTGTTGAATGTCTCTTATTCCTAAGTATTGGGATTTAACTAAAAGCATGAATTTAAGTTGAGCAAATATAAATCATATATAGTTGCTCATCGAAGAATCGTTGCTCGTGGATGTCGTGCATGAACCAGATACGTTATGACCACCTATACATGATAATTCTAAATAAAGTATGGAAGGTTAGCTAACTGTGAATTTGATATATGTGCTTGAATACTTGAAATCGAATGGCATGAGATATGTGAATTCCAAGTTATATGTATCTATTGACATTGACAGGTGCTGTTAATTGTGGAGTTATTGAATTATCAAATGTAAGGTATTCAAGTCTATGTTTGATTTTAGGTTGCGTTCATATAGAACCAACAATGAAAGGAAGTTTTGATTGTAATGATGAGTAATATCCTAAGGTAGCCGTGCTCCCAAGTAACTACATGAGCTGAGCGTAGCAGGACATCCTTCCGCAGGGAGTCCCGGGGTTGCTTCTGATGGGCTACGGGCTAGCTACCCGAGGTCATCGGTGAGGGGCCATGACACGAGATACGGGCCCATAAACCCAAGGAACAAGATGAGAAGAAAGAATGATGAATAAGGAATCATCTTGGGGTTTGATACATGATCACTTATGTGTGTTATGCACATTTCATGCGTGACTTGAATTCATGTGTGGCGTATTCAGCGTGTGTATCTGTTTATGATTAGTTAAGATTCCTTAAATATTTTAGTGGATGAAACGGTGACTTACTAAGCATTATTGCTTACGAGAATTCTATTCTCTTATGTTCTCATGTATAGGTAATAAACAAAGTACGGGAGCCTGAGAGGATGTATGGAGCCAGTGACAAGGTTTTTAGATGGGTTAACGAAGAAGATCTGATTGTTTGTTATATTTTGTTTTAGTACGTTGGTACTTTAACAGGGTTGTTAAACATTTTGAAATCCTGATCAGGTGTAATAGTTTTAAAGACATTTTTCTTTTGGATACCTTTCATTAATGTTGTAAGGTTTGATTATGTGTATAAGAAATAAAGTCTCATCTTGAGGCTTTGTATCTTTATTTCAACTTTATGTATATCGAGTCTCTTTTATGTTTGCGAATTCGTAATGACCGTTTGGCCGTTTGGGGACGGTCGTTACACATACTTATCTCATAATCTAATTGAGCTTAAAGTTTCTCCTATAAATAAGAGTCTTCTCCCATCCTAATTCACATCTTGAAGAACAACTTTGGTAAGAATATTCATAATGTAATCTCTTTTTAATCTCTGTTAACTTTTCCTCCATCTCATAACAACATCCATTTAGTAGTGAATCGTTTTTGTTCTCATTATTCACATTTGTCAAACTTTTCTTTGGGGCTGTTTTCTCAAACTTAAAATTTACAAGGGAAGTGGAATGTTGTTCTCTAATCTCTTAAGATAAATTTCACTTTTGGTCCAACGAGTATGCCACCGATTCCACAATTGGTCAATGTCTTTGACCACTTTTGATACACTTTTGATACATGACTATTGTGTTTTTGCCCAATAATTCCGATGGTTGAAGTTGCTAGACAATTGATCAAGAAATATTAGTCAAATATAAAAAATGAATAAAGTGAAAGACGTGAACTAAATGTGAAAATGACATATAACTCTTAGCACAAAAAATGGAATTAATTTGTGATACTAACAATTATGAAAATGTAAACGAGACAATTGAAATAAGGGAAAAGAGTCGAATAGATAGTCAAACTCACGTAAAAAAAAGTCAAATAAGTCATTATTTAACCAAAAAAACACTTTCAATCATCAAAACACGTGAAACTACCCATGTTGCGGTGTTGCCAACTTGAGGTCTTGAGTAGTTGGGTACGTCTAAAAATAAAGAATAATAAATTGCTAAAAGAACACCAATTCAACGACCCATAGATCTCACTCCACGTCAGGCAACTATTACTTCCGACCCCACAAGACTCTTCTTGCTACGCTGCTTTCCCCATGCGTTATTAAAAACACACAAGACATCTGTCGCCGCCTTATCCCGCCAACGCTCCATCGGACGGAGTAAAGCGGAGATGCCGTTGATTCGCAGGAAAAAGGCGCCGGAGAACTCGAAGCCAGAAGCTTCGATTCCGAAGCCGAGCAGTGAAGACGACGAGAACAAGAAGAAGAAGAGCAGCAAGCCCTATGTCCCGAAAGCCAAGGGCGAAGGAAAGAGCAAGTGGTCTTGCATCGACAATTGCTGCTGGTTCGTCGGATACATCTGCACCGTGTGGTGGATTTTGTTGTTCCTTTACAATGCGATGCCGGCCTCGTTCCCGCAGTATGTCACGGAGGCGATCACCGGACCGGCGCCTGATCCTCCAGGTGTCAAGTTACGCAAGGAAGGATTGAAGGCTAAGCATCCGGTCGTTTTTGTTCCAGGAATTGTAACTGGTGGGCTTGAGCTGTGGGAGGGACACCAGTGCGCCGAGGGCTTGTTTAGGAAACGCCTTTGGGGGGGCACATTCGGAGAAGTATATAAAAGGTCATTAGCCCTAATTTATTTCTCCATTTCGTATTTATTCCTAGCACCGTATGAGATATCCGCTGTGCTTTACTGTAGGATACTGTGTTTTTTGCAGAGCTAATTTTACTTTGACTTTCTAGCTCATTGGATTTCATTACTATATCAAATGCTCATTTAGTGTTGGGTCTGCAATAGACACTGATATTGATTTCCCCAAGACGGAGTATACTTCATCTTGTATAAGAATCATCTATGGAGCTTGAAAAACTACTTTTGATTTCATCTTAATAAAAGCTGCAAGTGTAATTACTTGGAAGATTGCAAAAAAATCAACCGTATGACAAGAAATTAGCTGCTAGCAGAGCTTTGTATGTACACATATATTTAATTGTATATGAACATTTGGAAATTCAATTGATGATATGCAGACCTTTATGTTGGGTGGAACATATGTCACTGGACAATGAAACGGGGCTAGATCCCTGTGGAATTAGGGTTAGGCCAGTCACAGGCCTTGTGGCTGCAGATTACTTTGCCCCAGGTTATTTTGTGTGGGCAGTTCTGATTGCTAATTTGGCGCGAATAGGATATGAGGAGAAAACCATGTATATGGCTGCATATGATTGGAGACTCTCATTTCAGAACACAGAGGTATGTCTCTGTGATTGGCAATCATGTCCAATCCAACTTTAAAATAAAGTACTTTCAATGCTACTTCCTCCATTCTTAAATAGCTGTCCATCAACTCAATACATTTTGTTACTAACTATTACATTTGCCTAACAATAAAAGAAAGCGAAGTAAAATGGCTTGGTGCCTCTCATATTTATTTCTACTTTGTTTCTTACTTTTAATACCTAGAAATGAATAAGGCATGCTTTTCAATTTATGACCACTAATTATCACATTTAAAAACCAATTTTTCCTTATTAGACAGTTATTTGAGAACTTAGGATGTGAAATATATTAAAGTACTCCGTACTAATTAACCCCATCAGGTGAGAGACCAATCACTGAGCCGTATAAAAAGTAATATTGAGCTGATGGTTGAAACAAATGGAGGTAAAAAAGCAGTAATAGTTCCTCATTCAATGGGAGTTCCGTATTTCTTGCATTTCATGAAATGGGTGGAAGCACCGGCTCCAATGGGTGGTGGTGGAGGACCGGACTGGTGTGCCAAACACATTAAAGCTGTAATGAACATTGGTGGACCGTTTTTAGGAGTTCCCAAATCAGTTGCTGGACTTTTCTCTTCTGAAGCAAGGGATATTGCTGTTGCTAGGTATACGTTAATACTTGTTACTTGCTCCTATGCTTTTATGCACCAGGAAACACAAGTCCAGCAATTGCAGGGTAATGTTTTCGTGTCAAGCTTCTTGCTGTTATTGTGTAGTTGAAATTTAGCTGTAACTAACTTTAGATTTAGGAATCAGTAATAAATATGATTTGCATATTTTTGTCTTTTTGGAAAAAGACCAAATCCTTACCAGTAGTTAACCAAAAAGTATAGTAAGCATATATTGCATATACATTGGTGGTTGGACGGTTGATGCATATAATAGTATTTAACAAAGTATAAATTTGTGTGAGACAACGTGATTAGTGGTTTCATTTTCTATGACTTGAGTGTTTTTTGGTGATTTGTTTTATTCTTGGCCGAGAAGGTAAAAGTATCGGTCAGTAAAAGTAGTTTTTAAAAGAATATGTGATCTATAATTGATTAATAACTTAAACGGTTAATTAGCTTCAAACATTTCCTAATTATAACAAATTATATATTGTATTAACAACTGACAGATTCAATTAAATTGAGACATTTTTTTTTTCTGAAATACAAACTCGTAACTTACTCATAAGTTTAAATCAAATCCTTTCAATAAAAATGGATTAGATTTAACCGATGCAATCACTTCGTCACATATTACTTTTTAATAATTATTTTTAGATGTTTTGCAGGTTTTCTTATGTGAAAGTATACTTCATTGTATTTACGATTAAGTATCTTACGATTCGAATTAGATATGATTCAAGATTTAAAAAACAGATCTTTGAGTCATGTTTTGAATCTAGGTTTGATATCCATGTTTTATCTTCACATTATCAAAAGTTAAAAACATGAATAAGATAAAGATTTATACAGAATAATACCAATTTACTGAGCAAGCTTTGTGAAGCACTCAATTTTACATTTTACAACCTGTTGCACATTTGCATTGGTATTTGATAACTTACCTTGATTATAGGGCTTTAGCACCAGGTGTGTTGGAGAAGGACATATTCCGTTTCCAAACACTGTTGCATGTAATGAAGATGACAAGGACATGGGATTCGACCATGTCTATGCTACCAAGAGGAGGTGATACAATATGGGGTGGTCTTGACTGGTCTCCTGAGGATGGCTATTCTCCTTGCACTAGGAAACATAAGAACAATAATACTACTAAGGACTCAGGTCACAATGGGATTCTAAATGTGGAATCTAAAGCGAGTGATGTGACTTATGGAAGGATGATTTCATTTGGAATGGATGCTGCCAAGGCAGAATCAGCAGAGCTGAAGAGGATTGACTTCAGAGTAACTTTTATTTTTTCATAACTTGAATATTGTCAGGAGAATTGTTTTTAGATCTATTACCTAAATTAGTCCCTCGAGTATACATAATTTACTCATTCGTTTTATTAAAATTTGTAAGCAATTTGCTCCATTCTACTATTTGGATGGAATATAGTCCTTATACATATTTGGCTTCATATTAGAAGGATTTTTGGTCCTTACTAAATTAAGACCCATTTTAGTATCCTCTTTCTTCAACTATGCTGGACTGGACTAAAATGGAGGTTAACTCTTATCTTTATAGTCCAAAAAAAGTCAATCATGAAATTGAGTACTAGTTTGTACCTGATGGACTAAATTGAAATTAACTCATATCTTTATGTTGGATGAGTTTCTGGCCTAATATTATTCTTCAGTGTAATTTTCAAAAAAAAAAAATATTGAAATGAATTAACCTCTTGCAGTTTTCCATCATTTGCAATGTAGCCAAAGATTCATTATTGTTTGGCTTGAGATTATGATGGAATAAAGCAAAATGGCTCACTAAACTGTCTGCGCTTCTTTGTTATGGAGCAGCAGTCAGTCCATGCAATCTTGGATGCGATTTTCACTATGGGTCATCCGGGAGCAGTCTCTGTGCTTTAGTACAGGGGTAAGACTGCGTACATCCGACCCCCCTTACCCCACCGTAGGTGGGAGCCTTTGCGGCACTGGGGTAAATGAAAATGATGAAAATGATGAATTTAACCTCTTGCAGGAAGTGATTTCTGAGTTTTATTACATGCAGGGTGCTGTGAAGGGGAGGAACATTGCAAATAATAGCTGTCAGGATGTGTGGACTGAGTATCTTGATATGGGCATTGGGGGTATCAAAGCAGTTGCAGAATATAAAGTCTACACAGCAAGTGACATTCTTGATTTATTCCAATTTATAGCACCAAAAATGATGGCCCGTGGTAATGCCCACTTTTCTTATGGCATTGCTGAAAATTTGGATGATCCAGAGTACACACATTATAAATACTGGTCAAATCCTCTGGAAACTAGGTGAGGACTCATTTTTCCTCCCTAAACTGGCTCATTATATATCTCCAATAGGGGCAAACAACGCAAAGGCATTAGTAGTGGCCATATTGCTGCCACTTTTTGGGCTTATGTATGAGCCATAATTTATCCCATAGACTAATTCACTTGATTACTCATGCTGAATTCGTAATGCAAAAGAGTAGGAGTTAAGGTACTTTTTCATCTGAAGTTTGGCCATTTTAGCCTTTTCTCATATACTTTCCCTTATACATTATATTGGAAGTATAGTTTCTTTCTCATAACCCAGCATTTTAGTTAACTTCAACATTTTAACAATTTAAGCCTAATTCACCATTACCAAGCGAACTCTTAGTGCCCATTCGCCAAGGGTTATTTAGCTGTATGGTTGAATCCACTGAATTTTCGAAATTGATAAGCGCTTGGTAAAAAACTTCTTTCAGCCAAACAATTAAGTCAAAAGTGTCTTATTCTGTATATTCCGATTATTTCATCTATTGGGCTGGTTAAGTAGAATAAGCCAATTTTGGCTACATAACATGCTCTTATTTATTTTTAGCTGAATCTAGGTCATAGTCCTCTAAGAAATAAAACACTGATATTCATCCTGACATGAAAAAACAATAAAAATAAATATCTGCAGGTTACCAAATGCTCCTGAGATGGAGATCTATTCAATGTATGGTGTTGGCATCCCAACCGAAAGAGCATATGTTTACAGACAGGTCCCATCAGCAGCTGAGTGCGACATCCCTTTTCAGATTGACACTTCAGCAGGTATCGCAGATGAAGAAAGCTGCTTGAGGGATGGTGTTTACACTGTTGACGGTGATGAGACCGTCCCTGTTTTAAGTTCAGGTTTCATGTGTGCTAAAGGATGGCGCGGGAAAACCAGATTCAATCCTTCCGGAGTAAAAACTTACATAAGGGAATACGAACATGCCCCCCCTTCCAATCTTCTAGAAGGCCGTGGAACACAGAGTGGTGCCCATGTTGATATAATGGGAAACTTTGCTTTAATTGAGGATATAATGAGGGTTGCTGCAGGTGGTACTGGAGAAGACTTGGGAGGTGATCAAGTCTACTCACAGATCTTTAAATGGTCTGAAAAGATTAATTTACCTCTATAAGATGGTGATGAGTGTGCGTACTGTAACGTGTCATGTAAAGCGAGCGAGGCACTTTTAAGGCCTTTTAGAATTGTGAATATTACACCCTCTCGGTTAAGATTGATTTCTGCAGCTGTAAATTTTACACCATTGGGTCTACTCGAGACTGCTCAAATAAAACTGTCAGAAACTTTGACGGTCTGAAACAACTGCTGCTGATGATTTGTTTATGGACCGAGTTGAGCTGATGGATTGCTTCTTGGGATTTGACAAGGTTTTTGTTCTACTTGATTAGAATGGGAGTTGAATGTTTATAGGGAGTAGATTATTTGGTAGAGTGTTTAGAGTTTATATGGTCATATGGAGATGGCTGCATGAGCTCCTAGATATGTTGCAATTTATTATTTGTTACTTGTTGGTGGACACTAAACAGGAACATTATTTTCATATCAAGTTAACAAATAGGAAACTATCCTATTCCCCTCAATTTACATTGGATAGATTGAGAACGACTCATCATATCTGACCATCAATCCCCTGAGCTGAAAAAAGGCATCATTCTCAATACAGTTGAGTTTTGACATGTATGGTTCAAAAAACTTACGAATAAAGAATCAATGCATAGAAGGAAGCCCCTTTAATTTTTTTAATAGTGAACCTCGTCCGGCCTAGAGAAACTGGGTTCGGTATTGTGTAAGATCGGACTGGGTCTGTGATTTTGGTTCTGGTTCAAGACCGGGTGCCCGACCCAGTAACCGCCAGGCCTAGTCCCGGGTATGTATTTCGGGGACTAGACCGGGTGGTCCTGGTTCTAGTCCCAATGGTTACTTCATTTGTTTTAAATAAAGGGTTGGGAGTGGGGGCATACAACTGTTTTTTTTTACAGAGGGGCATACAACTGTTAGTGACAACTATAAAACATTAAAACAGCTATATAATCATGGGGGTGGGGGCTAAGGGTGGGGTCCGGCCGTGTTCCCAGAACTGGATCGGGATCCGCAAAATCTGGGCCGGTTTCGGGCTTCACCATTCACGGTTCGGGATAGGCTGATCTGGGACCGGGACCGGGTCAACTCCTACTCATGTTGTCAAAGTTTGCAACATATGTTTCATTTTAAAAGCTCACGTCTCTCCGCTTTTCTTAGGAGAATAGGAGGTGCCTGTAAATGAGTATTGTACTACGTAAGTTCCGAGTATTAATTCTTTACTCCACATGATTAACTAGTTAATTATGAGAAAGGTAAGATTACAAGTGGTTTTCTACTGAAATGCCATAATGCCATTGAATATAAATTAAAATTATATTTACATTAAAATTGACTCCATTATCTGAATATGTTACAATTTGTGAAAGGGTGTAGTTAAATTTGATTAATGTGTTGTATTTGAAAAATTATATTTAAAATATACTTTATTATTAAAAAACAAAAATATATATGAATAAATAGCTAAAACTAGTTGTCTTCAAAAAATTTAGTCAAAAAATAAGTTCAACTTTACTTTTTATATATTACACAATTCAACACGTAAAATAAAAAGTTACTTGGAGTGCATATTTTCTTATTTTGACGAAAAATTGTTTGATGTCTGATAAGTCAAAAAGGTTATCAAATGGACTCCTTAATTTTAGTTCTTAAAATATCTTTTAACTGACCGATAAAAAATACGGAGTAATTATTATGAAAACATCATAAGCGATTAGCGGATAGCGAGTTATATTAACGGGTTGTCAATATGGATTCGGTCAACGGGTTTAACTAGCAAAATAAATTAGCGTGTTGCCAGAAGATGTTTGGTAATTTAGTTGTTTGGCCATAAAAATTAATAGGAAACGCCAAATTTCAAAACGCTGACTCAAAACTCTCCTATTTGCAGCGTTTCCATTTCAGGGGTTTCGTCCAAAAATGCTATGGTCGAACAACTATTTATCAAAAAAACGTTTTCATGTATTGAAAATGCTAAAAGTGGTCAAACCGTCATTTTTTGGCTGAAACGCTATTTTCCAAACACCCCTTTATCATTTAAGCCTTATACTACTTATCAAATTACAGAAAGTGTTTGGTAAACCGTCTATTAGCCAACTTTTGGCGTTTGAAATACGTAGTAAAAAATACAGATGGACAAACATTCCCACAAGGATGATATCTCATCTCTTGAAGCTAACTTTTGAAGCTTGACTACTTCATTGGTTCTCTATTTGCATTTAAAGCTAAGCCTTTTAACAAGACTGGTTTCAATTAAAGCTAATCAAGTGACAAAATGACACTTTATACTCCATATGTCCCATAAAATAGTTCTCGCATTGACTTGGATCGAAGTTTAAGAAAATGAGAATAAAATGAAAATGTATGGTTACGATTGAGTAAGAAAAAGGTAAATGAACATGAGAAACACAAAATTTTTCGAAAAGGGAAATAAGAACTATTTTCTGGGACTACCCAAAAAGGAAACTGAGAACTATTTTGTTAGATGGAGGGATAGTATTCTATTATTTTCCACTCCCGAAATCATCTTTATCAATGTTCCACGTCTCGTGATCGTTGGGCGGCTGCTAAATTTTCATCATGTCGTCTATGAAATGAGGGTAATATGGTCAAATACACGAATCAGTCAGGGGTGGATCCCATGCTGTTCAAAACTGTTCAGTTGAACACCCCCAAAAAACGAAAACAATGCACTATGAAAATGCAGTTTTGCAAAATGCAGAAGGCACTTTCTCTGTTAATTAACATCTTGATAAATTTAGTAATTTTTCTATGAGCTATTTTTTGTTTGATAGAGATATAGAGAAAATTGTCCAATATAGGACTAAAACTCAACCTTTTTCTCAAAATAGGACCACATGCACGTTTTTCTCTAAATAGGACTAACCTTACCTTTTTTACCCCTAATTCTATTTAATTAATTAATTGATCTGAATAATTGCCCCCTAGTTTCCTTGCACAACCAAGGCAGTCTGGAGGTGGCGGCAGCTCGGCGGCAGCGGAAGAGGCGGTTTCCGGTGGCGGTGGCGGCAGTGGCGGCGGTTTCCGGCGACGGCAAGAAAATAACAGACATTAAATAGACAATAAATAGACAATAAGTAGACCATAAATAAACAATAAATTCTAATAAACACCATTGCGGCGGCAGAGGTGGTGGCGGCAGAATCTGACGGTCAGCCAGATTTTTTTTGGAATTTTCCGGCGGTGCTCCGGCGGCGGCGGCGGCGGTGGCCGGAGGTCTGGCGGCAGGCGGTGGTGGCCGGAGGTCTGGCGGCAGGCGGCTGGCCGGAGGTCCAGGGGCAGTAGTGGGGGTATTTTGGTCCAATCACACCTAAAAGGTCCTATTTAAGAATGTTTAAACTAATTGGTCCTATTTTGGGAAAAAGCCATGTTTTGGTACTATTAAGATAAATCTCCCTAGAGATATATGTGTAACGTTAATGCATACAATACCGCTTTTTAAAAAAAATACTACCTCCGTCCCATAATTTATTTCCGAAATAAAGTGGCACACGAATTAAGAAAGTGAGAATTGTGTGGTGGAGAGTTGTGCAGAGGAGAGAGAAATGCTGTGAACCACAAATTCTTTGCCAAAAAAGGAAAAATAAGTTTTTTTTGGGACGAACGAAAAGGGAAAGTTGAAAGTATTTTCAGAGACGGAGAGAGTAATTGTAAACTAATTTTGAACATCCAAAACAAAAACGCTAGATCCGCCACCGGAATCAATTCACGGATACGAGTATTAGAAGTATATATATTTTTAAAAATAAGTCCAATACATTGAGGACGTGTATCTCTAAGTATAATACTCCCTCCGTCCTTAAAGGTTTGACAAGTTTGACCGGCACGAAAAATAATAAAATAAAAATTGTGTGGTAGATATTTGTGCAGAGGAGAGAGAAATAACAAGAGCCACAAATTGATTAACTAAAATGGAATGTGACAAAGTTTTTGGGACAACCAAAAAAGGAAAGTTGTCAAAATTATAAGGGATGGAGGGAGTATCACATACCTATCGAATACCCGGATAGTTATCTTATGCTTTGGCCAAAGGTAAGGACATCTTAAAAAAAAAACACTACCGCGTTTGGCTTCAATGCATTATACAACGCAGAAGAAAACGGACTACACCTACTATCCGTCCGTGCCTTCTGCTTCAAAGAAAAAGACCAGCTTCGTCGCTTCCAGCCTTCGATCTTACGGTCCTACTTCATCTTCCAATTGAAGCGCCTCAAGAATTACTGAATTGGGGATTCCTCTTCCAAGGTATTGTTACATTCAGTTAATTCACTGCCCATATGTTTTTTAGGTTATACTTGCCCTGGTTATTTTTTTAGGTATTGATAAATGATTATTGATTCACTACCGATTTCACTTGCAATCCTACGTTAAATTTGTTTTCGTCTTTTAACAGTCAATTTCCTGTTTTCCAGCCAAATCCAACTGGGGGTTTGAATCACTTCCAACTTTTCTGTTTTTAGTTTTTCATCTTTTGCAGCATTTGCAGTACTCTTTTAAATGTTTTTTCTTCATACCATATGCCTAGTTTAAAGCTATCAACTCCTTTTTTCTTTTAAGTTTGATCTCTATGATATTATATATGAGACTCAATAGGGGCGGACAATTTGGTTTACGGTTCGGTTTTCATTGGTTTTGGTTCGGTTTATTCGGTTTGAGAGATATTGTACCAAACTCAAACCACTTGAGATTCGGTTTGGTTTCGGTCCTGTTTCGGTTCTGTTTACCAAAGTAAAAATTAATAGGTTCAATTTTGTTCAATATGATTTGGTTTCATATCTTAATTATTTTATTTCATCAAGCTCTATATTTTAGAATTAGAAAATGAAAATAGTAGTCCATCACATCTTCTTGTATTTATTATTTAAATAAAATGTAAAAGAAAATAAAAGATAGAAAAAGAAATAATAAAAATATTATAGATTAACACGTAATCTATCAATTTACTTTATTAAGACCGGTGACATGAAAACGTCTCACATCCCTTCAATTAATAGAAAAAGATTCACCTCTCACAAAAAAATAAATTTATATATAGTACTCCCTCCATCCCACTAACAATGGTACAAGAGGGAGTGATACACATACCAAATTTACTAATTTTGGTATGAGACAATCTTAGTGGGACGGACCGTTTATTGGGACAATTGGGACAATCTTAGCGGGAGGAGTAGTTGATTACCATTTATAATTCTCCCTCCGTCCCACAATGAACTTCATAGTTTGACCTACACACATATTAAGGAAATAAACTTACCATGGGTAAATTTTACTGTTTTGACACTGTTTCGACACTGTTTGGCACTGTTTTGACACTGTTTGACACTGTTTTGCACTGTTTTGATGTAGATTAACTTGCCATTTAAGGAAATGAGAACTTGTTTCTGGGACATCCAAAAAAGGAAAGTGGGAAGTTCATTACGGGACGGAGGGAGTATCAAATAAAATATTCAAACAAAACTAAATGAGTCGGCGGTAAACGTGTTGTAAAATTCACAATTTTATTCAAATGGATCATGTAAAATGTATAGTGTGCTTTAGTTTAATTGAAATTAATATAAATGTAATTTGATGTTGTTATCGCCAAATATCTTCTCATACATATAGAGTACAAAATATAACAAATACAAGTATGTCTTATTAGCTAACTTTGTCATAATGAATATATGAAATGTGTAAAAGTTAAAACGGTATATGCTTAACATGTATTTTTCATATTTTAATGATTCATTTATATCGTAAAGATGAAAAGTGAAGACAAATACAAATTTTTTATAAATATTACAAGTTGTTCGGTGTTCGGTTTTTCAGTTTAAAACCAAACCAAACCATTCAGTTTGAGCAAATTGTTACCAAACGGTTTACTTAAGTAAACTCAAATCAAACCAAAGTACCGTTTTTTGGTTCGGTTCGATTAAACCAAAACCATTTTGCCCAGACTTAATGGACTTAATGGAAATCTTGACTTAATCATCCAGCTATATAGCGGTGTTTACTTATGACTTAATCTTAAACTTGACTTATTCACACAGACCTTTTATGACTTACAACTCATTTTTAATTCTCCTTAGCATTCAGACCTAACCATGTATAAGGAATCTCTTTTTTAACCCCTGCCTCTCCATTTTTTGACCCTTCCCTATACACTTGTGAACTTCACCAATTGGACGGCCTACGAATGTCTTCATCTGGGTATTCCCACTTGAGTTCATATATGATTTACTACATCTGGGTATTCCCACGGAGTATATTTTTTTCTTTTTCATATTACAGTCTTTCTCCATCTTCTCTTTCAGATTGTTGAACCCCTAAACCATCAATCTAGTTTCGATTTTTATATACCTTACTTTTCGATTATGCTTTCTTCATCTGGGTATTCCCACTTATCTCTGCCGTTTGAAGACCACGATGCATCGGAAAGAATCAGGTTGCTGAATATTTTTGAAATTAAAATCAGGTAGAAAAAAATAGCTTCCTTAAAGATTTGATTTAGGAAAGAGGGAGCAACTACGACTTTTAGCTTTGCCAGATTGTAATTCGTAGCCATAGGATAGCGCTTCCTGAAGTCGATCTTATGAAACTCCCTCATTTTTGTTAATTTGTAGTTGCATATCTTATTATTTTGACCTACTGCTAGTTTATCTTTTTTGAATAATTTTATGTCTCAATCCATTGTTGTTTATTTTTTATTCCTCCAACTATAGTTGTTAGTAGGGAAAGTTCCCGAAATAAGACTAAAACAATATCAAAATTCCAAAATAGGATTGTCATGTTTTTTATTCCCAAAATAGGACTAATTACTGCCATGATTAGAAATTACTGACATGTTTGATAGTCTGGTACTGCCAAAACATGGCAGTAATTAGTCATATTTTGGGAATAAAAACACGGCAGTCCTATTTTGGAATTTTCAAACTGTTTTAGTCCTATTTCAGGTAATATCTCTTGTTAGTGGCATAAGGTAAATTGGTAATTTAATATAATTCAACACTGGTTAGTAGCATAAGGATAAATTGGTAATTTAATATAATTCAGACTACACATTCAACTCATATAGTAAACAACATGTTATATTAGTGTCACTTAATCCAGACAGACGTCTTAAAACATACAGACATGTTAATCCAGACAAGATTTAATGGAAAAAAAAGTAAACAATCCCTAAGTGTAGCTTGAAGTTGATCATTAATATAAAATTTACTTTTCAATATGATTGTTAGCCGACCCCAATATCTTTTGGGACTAAGGCTTGGATGATGTTGTTGTTGTATCTAATTTATCATAGGATGAGGTGTATTCTAGCAGGGTAGAAAAAGAAGCTAATGTAATGAAGATAGGTTTAAAGAGATACTCGTAGAGAACAAATCAGATGTGTTTTTTGAAAAACATTTGTAATGTTTGATTATATTACTCTGTTGTTGTAATTTCAGTTAATTTATATTCCCTCCCTCCATGGTAAGTTATAACCTAGCCAACTTTCCATTTTTGGTTGTCCCAAAACCTTAGGCACTTTCCATTTCAAGTAATTTATTTAATTTATGGTTCGTATTAATTCACTCTCCTCTACACAAACCTCAATCTCATAATTTTTAGTCTATTATTACACGTGCTAGTCAAACTTGACTAAGTTACAAGGGATGGAGAGTATATATTAAAATTTTGGCCCACTCTGGATTATAATGCTAGATCCTTCCCTGCTCTCGCTTCTCGGATCCTAAATGGCCCGGTGTGCCTTGCGCCATTTAAAACTAAGGCTGATTAGTTGTGTTTATTCTTAGTCTTGGCTCTAAGAGTTGTGTTGGTAGCTGAATCAACAAAACAATGTCGATGTTGTGTTGAATTATTTTACATTTTTACTCAAAGTTGTATCAATTATCAAGAAACTTGTGGTTCCTCATTCTCTTATAGGATGACAGACAACATAAATCAATCAAAATGAATGGTTGAAGAGTATTCTGTGAAATAGGCGCTCCATAGTAGGTCTTGATTGCATGGTTGTCAATTGTTTAGGTTGAACTGTGTAAGTGTTAATTTTGGCCAAACATGGAGAAACAGGAGATTCGCAAAAATGATTTCTATATTTTTTTATTCATTAGGCTAGTTGATTACATGCCAGTGAAAAGAATTAAACATAAATATTGCTTCGTTTTATCAAGACTCTCATTTTGGGACAAACTATGTTTCAAACACGACTTTTTGTCACAGGACAAGTGAGTATAATATCCTTTCTAAGCAATTTTTTTTTTCATCTTTTATAATCTCTGTTCTCCGTGACGATGCCTAATGTGTCCACGGCTCCCTGTGATGGTTTGCGTGTCTATCCTGCTGCATTGTTAAATATTATTGATTGGATTCGCAGTTTTTCCTTCTTAGGGGGTGTCTGGCTTTGAAAGTATTATTTTGAGTAAAACACTATTGAATGATCTGTTGGAGGGGCTTTGAAGTGAAACTCAAAGCACTCTATGTCTCTATGATGAAGCAAGAAGCTATTGATTGTAGCTTTTTGTTTGTGTGAGCGTTTGATGTTTGCAACTTTTAAACAGAATGTCATCAAACACCCCCCCCCCCCCCCCCCCTCATTATTCATTTTACAAAAAAAACCAATAGCCAAACACCTCTTAGGTATACTGTTTTGAAATCATGTTCTCAAACCATAACACCAGTTTCTGAAATGTGTATGGTTTACCCATACAACCCTTAGTGTATTTTGCACACAGTATGTTGCACGTGTGCTTTTTATTGTTGCCACTACTTATTCTGATCCATTGAATAACGACAGATAATCATATATGGTTGAATACTTTTATCTGAATGCCTACTTAAAAAAATTTCTTGTTGCATCTTAATCTTTAATTGGAAGATATAGTTTCTTAGATATTTGATTTGAGAGTAACATCATGCATTATGTTTCACTTTCCAAAAGGTAACATATCATTTTATTTTTCTCTCCACAGCTACTATCCAAGTTGTAGGTTAATCTGCTGTTGATCATATTACTCGTAGTCTTTCAAGGATGAATACGCAGCAAGTTGTGCAGACCAAATCTTCTGTCAATGGATTTGGCTGTCGACAGCTGCAGAGTCCTAAATCCAGTTCCAGCCGGTTGGCAACTATAGGTCAGAGCAGCTTACTTAATGCCTTTGATGTTCATTTGGTGTTACTGAATCTAACTCAAAGATGTTCTAGGTAAAGGGAGTGCACTTGAAAGAGCATCACGTGATCGTTTATTTTACACAACTGCATGCCTTATTGGACTTCAAGTAGAAGTACAGGTGTTGGATGGTTCTGTTTTCTCAGGGATACTTCATGCAACTAACGCAGATAAAGATTTTGGTATGTGTATGTCACAGTGATAATTTAGCATTTTATTTCTGTTGTTTTTGTTTGCATCTTAGTTGTTGACTTCCTTTCATCATTTGCAATAAGTGCCACGTGTAATTACATCCTTTTTTGCACTGGGTGTTTGTAGACATTGTTCTGAAAATGGCTCGCTTGATAAAAGATTGTTCTCGTGGACAGAAGGATGCTTCTGAATACCTTAGCAAGCCTACTTCAAAGACATTCATAATACCAGCTAAAGAGCTCGTGCAAGTTACATCTAAGGTCCCATGCCTTCACTTTATCAATTAAGGAGCACATATTAAGTTTTCACACATTTCCATAATTTCTGATGGAGCCAAAGACTCACTATTTTTTGACTTGGTAATATGACGAAATAAAGCAAAATGACTCACTAAACTGTCTTTCATTCTTGGTTATGAAACAATAGTCAGTCCATGCAATTTTCGACGCGATTTTCATCATGGGTCATCACTAAACTTATCCGCTTTAGTACAGGGATAAGTCTGCGTACAATCGTACATCCGACCCCCCCCCCCCCCCCTATTCCACTGTAGGTGGGAGCCTTTGCGACACTGGGGTAATGTTGTTGTATTTTAAGTTTTCACAATATCAATTGGTAGCTTAATGTATGGACACTCATCCATACTAATTTAGGCTGTTCACTTATGTAACTTATAAAAAATGACATTTTATCTTTTCATATATCGATTTATGTTAGATTGTTAGCCCACCCCAAACTCTTTTTGGGACTAAGGCTTGGATGTTGTTGTATTCAACAGGGCGTGCACTTAACTCCGGATGATGTAAAAACTGAGTACCAGTGGGAAAAGCAGCATGAGCTAATGACTGATTCATGCATATCACAATCTCGACCCATTGAGGCGGAGCGTGAATTGGAGCGCTGGATACCTGATGATGATACTCCAGAGTGTCCTGAGCTCGAGAATATATTTGATGGCCATTGGAATAGGTTGTTAAAACTTAAAAGTACTCTTTCCTGTACTGTAGCCTTAATATGATTTGTCAAAGTCTATATGAGATTTGTTTCTCTGTTTAACTTCCAATTAGCATTCAATAGGTCCAAACAGGTCATGTTGTGTTGACTTATGACACGTTCTTTTAGGGGCTGGAATCAATTTGAGGTAAATGAAACGCTGTTTGGAGTGAAAAGTACATTCAATGAGGAACTTTATACAACAAAGTTGGAGCGAGGCCCTCAAATGAGGGATTTGGAAAGAGAAGCTTCAAGAATTGCTAAAGAAATACAAGGCGAGGAAACCCATGATGTTCACCTTGCAGAGGTAAGTATTTCCCATTGTTCGAATTATCCCCACACAGTGTTTGTACTACCTTTCTCATTTTCCATTGCAGGAAAGAGGATCTCAACTTCATGGAAACCTTGACATCGATGAGGAAACTCTGTACTCATCAGTCTTCAGAGGGGTTGATGACAGTGAGTTCGATGATTGTGAGGACATTTTATTGGATGCATGCAATGATGAAACATTTCAAGATATCTCTAATGCAGCCACCGGGGAGTCATTCACCAACATGATCAGCAAAAAATCTAATGATGGGGCTCAAGAACCATCACCAACTTCATCCACAGTATACCTTTGTTCATTTATATTACATGTTTGATTCTAATAGCAGCATAGGAAGAAACCAACTTCTAGTTGCATGGATTTATCTCAAAGTTCAGTTCCACACTTTTGCTTTAAGAGCAGTTGTTGATGAAAACAGATCATGCCATACATTTTCTAGCTGTGCTTTAAAGATGCCCCAAACATCTTTAAGTTAAAAAGGGAAGGGTGAGCGGGGAAATGTTAAGTTAGTGGTGTTTAAAAAGGAAGGTTGACTGTTCTGCGACTGCATAAAAAGGAAAAAAGATCAGAGTTATCTGTATATTCTTCACAAGTACCATGGTTTGTTTTGTTCTTAATATAGTCTTAATGCGTAGGATGAAGCTCAATTGAGTACTCGTGGGGTTGTCTCTTCAACTAATCATAACAAGCAGGCTAAAGATTCATTGGATGAATGTGTTTATGATATGGATGACAGCAGGTTTCTTTTGTACCCATTCAAAGTATATGCTATTAGCCTGTTATCACTTAGTAGACTTCTGTTTGCTCAAAAGACTAGTAATTTGAGCCTCTTTAATTGACCTACCGTTGTGATTACTTTGTTAGAATGTCTCTAAGTTCGAGTCCCTTTACAGGGTTCATGATATTCAGATTAGTGAACAAACTGGAGCTAGTTGCTCAAACAAGGATACTGGAAAGCAAAAGGTAAGCTAAATCTGATTTCTGCTTTTGCAGTTGTCTTTGACTTTGTTTAACTGCTTCTGCAGTTTTATGTTGTTGCTGATAAATGTACCTTGTTTCATTTTATTTTTGTGCAGCTAGGTGAAGAGAGAGGTGAGGCGTTAAAACCTTTGGGTAACTATACTATATGATGTTAGTGTTGTACTTCTAGAGCAGATCTGAATCATCTAAATAAAACTTCATGGATGGGTGATCTAATCATCTTCACCTTCAAACTGTTTACCCATACAATGCCTTTCCTTGTTGATTTTTATTTATATACCTGTTTATTTATTCACTCACTTACTCTGGGACAGCTACTTGTGCAGATTCACTTTTATCAAAGAAAGCCCAAAGCGAAACATCTGATAACAATGATATGTCTTCAGATGTTGCTTCAGTTACTTCTCTGGCTGAGGGCTGTGGGAAGACGAGGGGAATACCACAATCTGCTAATTCTAAAATCTCATCTGTTTCTGGATTGTCAAGAAATTCATCTGTGAGTTCAATGGCATCAGAAAAATCAAATTTGAATCCTAATGCTAAGGTAAGTAGATCTAAGATCTCAGTTCTCCTCCCCTTTGAATGAAACAATTGTTTGAATGTTTTTTTTTCTTTAAAAATATAATCCACAGGTTCACTTAGTGGTTGTTTTAATGGAATAAATTGGTGTATTAGTGGTATAAAGAATCTTATTTTCCCCCATTACCTTCCTTTTTATTGATTGTTATCAGGAGTTCAGACTAAATCCTAATGCAAAGATTTTTGTCCCTTCCCAAGCACCTTCAAGTCCTGCATCTCCAGTTTCAGATGGTTCTTTTTATTACCACCCATCAAATGTGACTCCTATTCAGCAAGTACATGGCATGTCTGTTGGCATTGGGGTAAGTGAATCTGGTATGCTGTATGCCTATTATGTATATAGGTAGTTATTATTTTCCTTCCCTAGGAGTTAAGGTCTGCGTCGTCCGCCGCAAACCAGAAAATACCAGGGAAAGAAAATAGGAAGGAAAACATAGAGGAAGATTAGAATATTGTGTGCATATAGCTTTGTTTTATTGTTAGAATAAGAATACATTCCACTTTTGAACCTATGAGAATTGCACCGATCCTACATTTGGTTCATGTCTTTCACTTTGCCCATTTTTGGTACACAACTATCATTTCTTGTCCGCATGTGGTCCATCGGCGCTTAAAATATTTGGAGAGGTGCCGGTAATTTGTCCGGAAGGACCACATACGCGCAAGAAATAGTAGTCTTATACCAATAATGCACAAAGTCAAAGAATGGACTAAATGTAGAATTAACATAATACTCGTCGGACTAGAAGTGGAATTGATTCTTAGAATAAAAGAAAAGATTGTTATGCATTTGTACATGCTGATCAATTAGTATTAAAATGTTATCTAATACTTTGGTGTTAAATGTTTTATACTTTATAGTAATAAAAGTTACTTTTGACAAACATTTTTTAAGAATGGATCGCTAGTTTTTATGAGCAAATTTAAATTGCATTCTATTGATTTATCAATCAATAATTGTATTTGTAAAGACAATATATTTACTAAAGTACTTTTTGGATTCCAAAATAGATATTTGATATGTGCCAGTGAGAAAATAATGTAATGTGTTACTACAAAATAATCTATTTTGTATCTTATTTATAAATTAATTAGGCAATTGTAATAATACAATAATAACATGTGTGAGATACCATGTGGCTAATAGCATGCATATTGGCAATGTGTGACATGGCACATGAAGTGCTGACATTAACTTGAAGTGCTCCCCACACGACTCAAATATGATATGGAAAGAAGAAGCCCATTATTACTATTATTATTATTCATTATCATTATTATGGGTTTCCTAAAGTGTTAGTATTAGTTTCCCAAGGTTATTATTAGTTGCAGTTTCCTTTTAGCAGAGATATTCTATTTTAGTTAATTTCCTAATATAAGCATTGTAATAGAATTAGGGTTGCTCTAGTATTATGCCATCAATCTTATGGAGAAATAATTCCTCTTGTGCACTCAGTGGAACCAGCGGTCATTTCCTTGCCTATGGTGGGAAGATGTGTTATTTTTCCAACAATCATACTTATCATTCTTCTTTTTTATTTCCCAACCACGCTGGTAACAAATAGTTTCTTATGACTGTAATCATTTTAAGAAGACACTCCTACCATCCCAAAGAATTCTATTTGAACAAAGAAACTATTTTTCATTTTTTTCCAAAGAAGTATCAGAGCAGTTAATTATGTGATAGAGAGCAGGGAGGGGCGGAGGATCCAGATCCAAGCCCCAGGCCTTTGCTGGTCTACCGTAGGCGGGGATGGGCTTGAGCCAACCTTCATGGGCCGGCTTAGCTATTTTAATTAGCTTTAATTAATTCCTTTAGTTATTACCTTCTATTATGTTTCCTATTTTATTTATGTTTCCTAGTATGATATAATTAGGACTTCTACCTTAATTGTAACTAGTGGGCTATTTAAACCCCTAGTTAGGGTTATTCGAACCATTCATTAATCAATAAGATTGGAGTTTTAAGCTTTGAGCTTGGGCAACGGTTGGTGCCGTTGATTGTTTAATTTTCTGCTTTCATCATTATGCTAAACAAACAAACAAACAATATTACACTATAGCTAGAAGTGATGGTTTTCAATAGTAGTAGACTCGTAGCTTGTTAAAATAAACAAGTTTACCTTGGTGAATCAAGGCTAATTTCTAAGGTGGAGGTTGTATTATATTTTTTTCTAATGACACATACTTGCAGATAGGACCATCCTATGCCGGACATCAGCCAGTTCTACTTAACCCTCAGGTTGCTTCAACTCAGCAACAATATTATCATCCAAATGGACATCAGGTTTGTCTTCATTTTGGGTCTTATGAACGCTTTGCCTCTTCATTCTCTTATGAATAGTGAAAGTTGAAAAGGACTAGAACATTTTTGCAGTACGGGCAGCAGATGATCATTGGCCATCCTCGTCAAGTTGTCTACATGCCAACCTACCCTCATGTAAAATTCGAGCTTTGAGAATATACTTGTCATTATCATTATCATCATTAATATGGAGTATTATTTAATCTAGAGTTGATACCTGATTTGGTCCCTTGACTACAAATTTTTGCTCAATTTCATTCTCGTCTTTCTTCGGGACTCAGTTTGGTTCTCGACTGAGCAATTTAGGATCAGTTCAGTCCTCGTGCATATGTTGCTTAAATTATTCATGCAGTGAGGACTACGTTGTTGATTAAAATTTTATTTCAGAATTGGGTCTGAATTTAGTGTGACAATAGTAGTATTCTTCCTATTTAGTATTTCAAGTAACCGTACAGAGGTAAAGTTGCTTTCTAGTGCCAGTGGTGCCCCTTCCATATTTATCAGCTGTAGTGTGAAATAAAAGATGTAAACAAAATGAAACGACAACTCGGGTTTTCTCGTCCATAGTTGTATCTGTAGCAAGATGGTAAATATTAACGTGCTACTCTTGACAGGAAATGCCGTGCAGGAGAGGAGATTTCTAAGTACTGAAAAGTAGCACAATGTACTCTCCGAGCTTTCAAAGCTTTGCTGATGATGGAATACTTTTTTTTGCACACTAAGAACTGACAACACATCATCCAGCAAATACTCTTCTATGCGTTTCTGGTGTTGGGGAAAAGCAGTCATTGAGTCTGTCATACTATGGTTCTGTGTTGGATTTGCAATTACTAATATATAATAGTAACTGGTTGGACATGCGTCTCTTTACAAATGTTCTCTGTAATCATAGATTTAAAGCATCCCCGAAATTTGTACAAATTCTTCCCCCCTTGCCCAGTTCAAAACCCTTGTTGCAGTTATTTTGTAATAAAAATTTCAGGAGTTCTGTACTATTGAAGTGATTTAGTATATTAGTATTGTGAATTTGTGACAAACTTGTAGCGCCATTTACAAGTAAATTTCTTGGTTCAAGCCCCCTCCCCGTACCCCGGTCCGGTTCGCCAAATGTGAGACCTGGCCCAGACCCGGCCTAGGCCCGACCCGGACCCGGACCCGGACCCGAGAACCGGGCCGGGCCGGTCCACGGGCCGGGTGGCCCGACCCGAGTCCAAGTGTCCAACACTAGCCTGCATCCGTATTAGAAGATGGGAAAACTACAATGCATGAAGCTTTTGAAACTTCAGCATTCAGCTGATGTACGATAATAAGTCGAACTGACATGTCAAGTTCCAAGATGAGATTGCGGAGGAAGCCAGGATGGTGTCCGACGTATTACAGTGGTGATGATGTGGCCACGTGGGTAGGGATGGATTCGGGCCAGGTCGGGCCCGGTCGGGCCGCCGGTTCAAGAAAAGTGGGCCCGGGACCGGCCCGAGGGTTGGACGGGTCCGGTTCGGGCCGGGCCACCCGCTCGGGTCACGGGTCGGGTCCGGTTCGGGCCGGTTAATTTTTTTTTTTATAATTTATATTTTATATTTTATAGTTTTATACGAGTATTAAAAACAAACTTCAATTGCATTTATTTGAAATGAAATAGGAACTACATTTGAAAATTAAAACAAACTTTAAGAGATAAACATTTTGCAAATTGTAATCAATCGGAACTTCCCGCACCTCCCGATCCTTTGGCTTTCTCACATGACTTCATATGCTTGATTGCCATCCCGAATCCGCCTGAAGCTCCCATGATACATTTTTTTTCGCACCATTTGCAAATTGCGTACCACATCCCGGTCTTCGGGTCCTTCTGCTTATCAAAATTATACCGTATAATGGCATTTTGATTTTCCATCTTAACTTCTTGGAGAAGAGAATTAGAGAGTAGATATATAATATATTGGAGAATAAGAGAATTAGAGAGTAGAGAGTTAAGAATAGGATTTAGGAAGAATTGGAGAAGAGATATGAAAAAATGTTTAAGAGTAGGAGTATTTATAGGTTTTTTTACCCCCCACCCCCGGACCCCCCCTTTACCCCACCCAACGGCTATATAGCCGTTTGGGTTGTCCCCAGCCCCACCCCCAAGGCCTCAACGGCTAGTAGCCAAAAAATAAAAAAAAGTTTTTTTTTTAAAAATAGACCCGGACCCGGGCCGGGTCACAAAAATGCTGAACCGAGCCCGCCCCGCCCCTTCCCTCCGGTTCAGGCCCATACCCGGTCCCGGACCGCCCGACCGGGCCGGTCCCGGGCCCGCACAGTACCGGGCCGGGCCGGGTCACGGGCCGGGTGGCCCGAACCGAATCCAACCCTACACGTGGGGCAGTAGCGGCTACTAGGACATGATGACAAATCAGAGTACAAGGGTCGAGTTGTAAGCCTCTGGTTGATTTGGTTTTGAACGGTTATGAATTATGAAAAATCTAAACAGACTATTTGATAAAGTAGCTTTAGTGGTTTCAGTTAGATTTGTTATGTTTTGGTTGGTTGAGTCGATTTTAGTCATTTAATAAAGAATAAACATTAAATGATCAACCTTAAATCGATGTTTCTATAGTTTGATTGATCTTTGTTAGTTTCAGTTTTCTTCGGCTAGGTTAGATTCGGTACACATTTGACTAGTTAGTCTGTCATTTTGGTTTTGTTCAACGCTGCATCGGAATAAGAACATCATTTTTTGTAAGAACTTCATTTTAATCATTTTTTGGTTCATTATTTTATTTTAGTATCTGATGGTGTTTTCATCTTAAACTAATATGTTTTGTAGTATGGAAGATCAGGTATTTAGTTGACAAAGAAATCTATACAAAACAATGTCAAACAGTGCAAAACAGTGCCAAACAGTGTCGCTACAGTGCCAAATAGTGTCGTTACAGTGTAAAGTCAACTTCACTTTCTTAATCTGTGTGAAGGTCGAACCAGGATGATTATTTCGGGACGAAGGTAGTATTTTTTAATTTAGTGTGGCGAGTAATTGAGTTCAACCATTCTACTCGTATTTGTCCGAAGGATATCCATCGCGCAGAGTTATGAAGATATCCATCGTAGCAATACGAACGATATTTATCGCACAGAGTTATGAAGATATCCATCACACCGATACGGACGATATCCATCGCGCAGAACTATGAAGATATCCATCACATCTATACGAAGGATATCCATCGTGTAGAGCTATGAAGATATCCATCGCAGCTATACGAACGATATCCATCACGCAAAGCTATGAAGATATCCAGCATAGCTATACGAACGATATCCATCGCACACGGCTATAAAGATATACTCCCTCCGATTCCTAAACAAGTTCCACATTTGACTTCACACATATTAAGAAAATAAATTTGACTTTACTGTGGACTGCACTGTTTGGCACTGTTTGAACACTGTTTGACACTGTTTGAACACTGTTTGACACTGTTTTGATATAGATAATAAGGAAATGTTTTAAAGTGGAACTTAATTTTGAATCTGCCCGAAAAGGAAAGGTGGAACTTGTTTCAGAAACGGAGGGAGTATATCGCAGCTATACGAACTATATCCTTCTGACGGTTGAATTCAATTACCCACCACACTAAATAAAAAAACAAAAAAAACATCATTGTTATTAAACCCTATGCACCATAGGAGATTCACATTCGTTTGAGAAAAAGATTTAAGGCCGCCCTTAAACTCCTACAAATCCCACTATAGGAGATGCAAGAAGTTGAGTTAGGGCAATATATGTTTATACCTTTATTATGCTAGATAAATCTATAAACTATTCAGTAAAATTTAAACTATGTTCAATTTATTTAGATTAAACGAATAACAAGTGGATTAACAAAGTAGCCAAATTAAGTCAATCCTGAAATAAATGCTTGGAGATAAGACATCCAGTCCATAGGAGGACAGTTTGACTGCTGCTGAAAAACACATCACTTCACTCCCGCCGGGTAGACCAGACCCACACCCGGGGCTCCGAACCTCGCAACCGGGTCATGTTGGTGACACATATGGGTTTCGGACTCATCCGTTCTTTCTCAAATCTAATTAAACCCGTGACCTTCTTTCAGATTCAAATCCGCCCCACTCTTCTCTCTCTAGACAAAGCGGTAGAGAGCTTAATAAGGGGCTCTCAGTAGATTCCCTACCCCAAAATAAAAGCTCACGACATTCATTTTCCTTTCTTTTTCCATCCCATATTTGTATACAGAACTTTGGGTACCCAAAATTTCGTCAACCAGACAGTAAAGCAGAGCATAGCTGGCGACAATGGAAGCAGCTGTAGGCGGAGGAGGACAGTACAATCCCCGTACGGTCGAGGAAGTTTTCAAAGATTTCAAGGGCCGACGAGCCGGGTTGATTAAAGCTCTCACTAGAGGTTCTTTCCCAACTCGATCCTCCTCTCCATCTCGAGTGTTTTTTGTTACTAGTTAATCTTTGCTTCTTAATTTCTGTGATATTTGTTTCAGATGTGAATGAATTTTATCAGCAGTGTGACCCAGGCAAGTTCTAGTCTTTTTTCCCTCTGTATGTTTTAGATTGCAGTAGTTGGGTATGGTTTAGTGTGATGTGTCGATTGGTGGGTGTGCAGAGAAGGAGAACTTGTGTTTGTACGGATTTCCGAGCGAGCAGTGGGAGGTAAACTTGCCGGCGGAGGAAGTTCCGCCGGAGCTTCCAGAACCTGCCTTAGGGATTAACTTTGCAAGGGATGGGATGCAGGAAAAGGATTGGCTGTCTTTAGTTGCTGTCCACAGTGACGCCTGGTTGCTTGCGGTCTCCTTTTATTTTGGTGCCAGATTTGGATTTGATAAAGCTGATAGGTATCTTTACATCTATCTCTTCTTCTTTTCTTTAATAGTCTTATATCAACTGCAATCTTTGTGCAAAAGTCATGAAGCTGGGTGTCTTCTTTATGTGTATTTCTTGTTCTGCCACTCGTTTGGATTTATTCCTGGAATTCAATCCTATAATTAACATATATTTGAGCTCAAATTCCATCTATTTTGTAAGGAATTCATAGTATTATTAAAATGAACATCTTTTTTGGTGGAGTGTGGTTTAAGTCAAATCTAAAACTTTATGAATTCTCATACATAGAATTTTACTCAAACATTTGGTTTGGAATGAAATTATATCATCCAAACTTCTACTTTGCAGGAAAAGACTTTTCAACATGATTAATGACTTGCCAACTGTATTTGAAGTTGTGACTGGTGCTGCTAAGAAACAGCTCAAGGAAAAATCTTCTGTTTCCAATGTCAGCAGCAACAAGTCAAAGTCAAATTCTAAACCGGTAAATTGTACTTCTTTCCTATCTTGAAGCATAAACCCTATGTGTCCAATTTGTGCCTTATAATGGCGTGTGTGCTAATTACTTGTGGTCTTGATTGTTGCATCAAATTACTTTTCTTATCATGATACATGGGATCATAACAACCAATTTGAATTCTTTGACCTTGCTTATCTTTTTCAGTGAAAGATAATACATGAATGCCAAAATCATCATTCATGAGAATGAGTCTGGGTACCTCTTATACCCTTTCTCCTAACGGGCATTTATTGTCAGTCCCATTGGATTCTCAGAATCTGTCCCTGCCCCTATCTTTAATTGGTTGCATTTCTCTGAATGCTATCAGTCTATGGCTCAGCTCTGGCTTTTCAGTTTATTCTTTTGGTTCTTGGTCGCTTATCTGATCATGTAAACCTATTTTATAATCCTTGCCTCCCTATTTATGTGGCTTGATTGACCAATTTTTCTTGTTCTTATTATCTATCCTTTATATGAAATTTATGCACATTAAAAGTTTTTGTATGAAAGAGAATTATTAACTGGTAGCAGCAAGTAATCACTCTGTATTAAATAAGGGCACTTAAGTAAAACATAAAATGTTGATTATTGAGGACTTGCATAGAACACGAAGGGAGTCTGAATGGACATGCATCATTTGCTTATGCATTTATTATTTCATTAGGTGCAGCGGCCATCTGATATAACTCAGGAAAGGTACATGA